CGCAAGCCGAATCCGTAGGGCTCTCCTGGACAATTCCACTCGAGAACGTACCGATCGACCGCTCTCCCTTCTGGCTTGTTATACTCTCTCCAGGCGTAACGCCAGGACTTTGTGGATAAGGTTAATCGACCGCCTTGACCTAGCCGTGTGATGCCCTCTGGACCTCAGCTACCTGCGTCTCAATTCGAAGATTCCTGGTATCCCAATCCCGACCGTCTCGACTTAGCAATCTTGCTCCTTGTGGGCTCCCATGGCGCTGCTTCTCTGGCGACTCGACTTGCTGTTGCTCCCTTGTAGATTATCTGGTTGTTTGATTGTTCACCTTGGTATCTAAGTGATCTTGACGGTTTGACTCCTTGTGATCGACTGATCCAGCTGCCAGCGCTCTGCGGCCTTATATAGGGCCTCCGGGAACCGTTATTTCCCTATTGCGCATGGCCCGCTGAATCTCTCCACTCCGGGTCCAAAGTCCGTGCCTCCTGGTTGACCCACTTGTCCTCCACGTACCGCATCCAATCGATGCTCCGCCCACTGCTGCCGTCCCGCTGATTCCCGTGATACTTGTGGCACGCCTGTGTGCCGCTCCACTGCCGAGGTGTGGCACTTCTTCTCCCGGTCCAAAGTACCGCGAAGTCTCCATTCTCGCTCGATCTCAATCCTTGGTCTCCAAACTCTCTCGTTCTCCATCCTTGGTCTCCAAACTCTCTCGCTCTCCATCCTTGGTCTCAAAACTCTCTCGTTCTCCATACAAGTCTCCAAACTCTCCTAGCCGCGCCGTTACTACGCGAATTCGCCGCGTATCTGGTAAGCGGCCGGCCATCTGCTGCTGCTTCTATTTGTGGGGAGTTATTCAACTCCTCACAACAGAATTATAAACAAAGATAACATTTTAGGATTAAAAAATTATTTTTTTTATTTACAGAAAATGTATTCCCTAAAACCTTATTTATAATCATTATATTGGCCAATTCAGAAATATTGATTACTCGAACCAGAAATTTTTTCTGGTAATACTCTAATTTACGGTCCTCACCCCCGAAATTCGCGAAAAAAATATCCTCGACGGATTGCGAATTCCTAGGAATTTACATGAAGAAAAAAGGCGCATTCTGCTATGGTTCTCTTGTAATCGAATTTCAAAGTTACGTGTTTTGCTAGGCGCCACAGCCGCGAATTAAATATACTCGATGAACCGCGATTCCTTAAGAATTCGCGTGACTATCGATGACCAACTTTTCAAAGCGAGTCTGAAGAAATCGCGGTTGTTGACTTACAGGAGGCAACATAGTAGTCCATGAACCGCGAACTATGAAAAAGTCGTGATTGCAGACAAATTGAATCTAAGTCTGTAAAGCATTAATAATACACAATATAATTTGTATGGATTTTTGTTTATTTAATCATTAACATTTTTCCGCACCTCCATATCATATCGGTCTAAATACTTTCAACGTCTGCATCGGCTGGATCCTAAATAAATAAATATTTATAAGAATATATTTGATGTATGTTAAGAAAAAGAAAACTACAAATTCCGTGAATGTAAAAATAATAATAATTTTATCTTTGCATTGTATAAATTGGCCATCGATTAGAATTAATGTGGTGTGGAATTTGTGTTTCTTCAGGAAGGAGAAACGCGCCAGGTAGCCTTCATAATGATCCTTTTTCCTTCTATAATGCGGAATCGTAGCTTCAGATCCCGCCACAAACGCTCGATTTTTGGGTATTGGCCTTAGACACAGGATCGACAAAATTAAGGGAGTGGTTAATGGCCTTCAACAATCGGAGACAATGGTGGTTCCGCTGGCAATGTTCTCCTGGATTAGAGGGATGAGTGTCTCCTTGGAGCGGTCTTCGACTGCAGCCAAGATAAATTGTGCGGACTCACGGTCGATACCTTAAAACACCAACTCTAGACTCGTCCACTGTTATATTTTCTCCTACCAATCTTAGTTTCATCAACTTCATCGATAGCTCCATTGCCTCCGATAATGCATTTGTTGTTTTTTTAGCCCAATCTATATAAATTCCCCGTAGGAAGCTCGAGTAGTCCGCAATAGTTTAGAATGCCCAATCGAGTTCTTCCTCCAGAAAAGTAAATGTTGACCCGTTAAGCTCCCAGGCAATAAACTTGCATATCTCAACAAAAGATAAGTGCTCCTTTGGAAAAAAATGTGTTGCAGTATGCACTTTCCTAAAAAGCGTAATGTTTGTAAATTTCATAAATAAATGAAAGCAATGCTAAACCTAAAATCGCATTGCCTTCTTATTTTATTCAGTGTGCTACGGGTATCTTCTTGTTACCGACGCCGGCATTCCCACATTGGTCTCTCACCATCCTTAAAGACAAGGCTAGCCAGTTGGAAGCAGTTAGGACAGGTCCTTTCCTTCAAAAAGGCTCCGTGATGTGTACAAAAAGGAAAATAGCTTCCTTGTCCATACTTAGGACATTTTGTATTTGCGTTACAAAAATATAAATGCCAATAATTTTGTATAGCAAGTCGAGGAAAAGGCTACTTTAATTTTATAGCAAAACACCTAACTTTGAAATTTGAATACAAGAGAACCATGGCAGACCGCTCCTTTATTTCTTTATGTAAATTCTTAAGAATTCGCGGTCCGTCGAGGATAATTTTTTTTGTGAATTTTGGGGGGGAGGACCGTTAACTAGAGTATTACCATTATTTTGTTCCAGGACAACAAGGATTTTCTTACTTATGAATCATACTGTAGTATGTTCACATATCGAATGCACACTGTACTTAGTGTTATTCATTATATTATTACAAACACATTGTAGCACTTGGCCACAATATGTTTACACAAATCCAAGTCCCAAACAGTTCTTCAAGTGCCGGTAATATGATCGCCGTTGAGTGCACTGGGACTGGGCAGTGCTGAGTCTGCATATTTGACATGCGCGACCGCTCTGTCACCATGTGAACATAAGACCTCTCCTCTGCCGCGGCGACTCTTCACCACCCGCTACTAATACATACGTCTATACATAAGCATGGAACGCTGCTCTGCCGGCGTTTCTAGCGGCGCAGCTACACAGAGAGAATTATTCAAGTAATTTGCACTCAAATTGAGTATTTTTGTACTCAAAAGTTTAGCATGAACAAAAATTCTTACTTTGAGTTCAAAATACTCACTTTCAGTACAATTTTTGAACATTTTTCCTCAATATGAGTTCAAATTGCACTCATTTTAAGAAAAATGTTGGCTTTTAGAAACGAGTATCCCCTTTTCCCAATTCCAAGCGCTCAAATTGAGAAACCAGTTCTTGGTAGTAAACTCTCCAAATTCTCAAATGAAAAACTTTTGTACTTTAACCCATTCCACCCATTCCCAGAAAAAAGGGTAAAATAAATTTTTATTTTTTTCATTTTATTTTAAAAAGCGCTTCTTCATAATATTCCTTGAATTATATACCCCATATATATATTCCTTAATTATTAAAGATGTTAATACAAAATTATAAATACATTTCATTCTTATATAAGTATTTCCGTCATTTAATGTGTACGGATGTAAGGGCGGGCTCATAAATTGCGATATATTTTTTACAAACATCTTACTCGTTATTTTGCCTATTTTATATGCCCTTAAATGGCTCACAAATTTCTTAATTTCAATTTCATAGCAAATTTCATGAACCATAACTGCTTAAAAGATCGGCAGTTTTAAGTTGCTGATGAGTAATGGAGAAGAAAATTATGTTTGGATGATGTTCGATGGTGCAAGCAAACAAGCCTTTGCAGCTCCTTTATATTCCCTTCAATAATAACCATCTGTAATAGCAAATCAACAATATCTAGCAATGTTAGTAACAGCTCCCAGCTCCTGTTCCCTTCTGGTATTAAGTCACCAATTTGTAATGTTAGGAAATGCATTAGGGAAAACATTTGAGTTGCATTCTTACCCAAATGAAAATTCTTCAGTTTTCGAGCTAGATGCTTTTTGACTTATTCCCTATCTCAGTCTCTCCATATTAAAAAAGACATTTCCTACAATTTAATTCATCTATAGTTATAAATTTATCTTTTATTAGAGCGCCTAATATGTTGCATATATCGTATATGCACACCCCTTAAACACATCATGCGTTTTATCAAAACAAATGTTTTCTACAACATGAAATGATGTTAGACCATTAAAAATGCATACGCTCTTTACACCAGTTTCTTGAAAATTATTTAAACTTAGATGTTCAGCATAATTAATTATGTTTCTCAAATGGGACTGATTGTTCAGTATCCAGTTTCATTTCTGCTTTTGGTTTTGTACATGCTCTGCAATACATTTTGGAATTAAATGACTGCACGAAGCCATTAATTCCATTAACTGTCAAATTGTTTCCAACTATCAGTCCCAAAACAAAGTGAACTATTACTTCTCCACTGTCAGTTCTTAGCTGTATACTATTTTCTAAAATTTTAAGTTCTTCTACAAGATGATAAAACGATTTTTTTTATTGGCGGCTGAAGATATAAATGCGATCTGAAAGATAAAACTCACTTTCGATGGGAAATGTGAAGGAAAAGTAGGAAATGAAATGTAACAACCACATAGTGGAAACTTTCGACCGCCAAGGGGATTGTTAATGTCGAAGTCGTTAAAATATAAAATGTATGGTATTACTATAGTATTACTTATTAAAAAGCGTTTTACTATATTTTTAAAAATGTTCCCATTGATAAAACTTTTCATGGTAAATTCATGCGAAATATTCTCAGCTTTTTGTAAAGAAAATTTCAAAAGTTGGGGAATTTCAAAAATTTTCTGAAATATAAATACCAGTGGCATTATATAAATATGATCTGTCTGAATTCCCAAAGTAGGATTGCCTTGCAAAACTATTCCTGATACTCGTTCACCAATTTTAAATGTTTTTGCATCTTTAAACAAATTAAGTTTTCTTAAAGTTGCAAGCAATTTAAACTCAGATCGAATATCCTGAAAAAGCTGTTTACAAAAACAGATCAAAACTAAAATGGTTGAAATCATATTTTGTAATTTAGAAACTTGTTTTCGGGGCATCGAGTTTAAGTCAGACGTTTCTATTGATAGCAGAAGAGCTTTTGTTTTTAAGTCATCCAAGTTATTAAGGGAAGCAGGAAAACTAATGTTGCTAACAATATCATCATATTCGCTCGATGCCAAGCAAGAAATAATTTCATTGTCGACTTCAACAACATTTTCAATAGAAATGAACTCAGAAGAAATGGAAGCCGGTTCCATCACAGTTGGTTGCTGTTCAATAATGTTCACCTTATGACATCTATCTAAATGCATTCCAAAGGTATAGAGGTTTGTAAAAACTTGATGACAGTTATTCTGTTCACAACGAACTGAATCGGTTTTATTTAAACATTTTGTCTTTATTTTGATAAATCGAAATAGGCTGTAATAATAATACAGATTAAGATGATTTTAAAAAGTTCAGTAGCAAAGCCAGAGATGAGGATTTTGAATCATAGATTGTGTCAAGGATAAAAAAAAAATTGGAAGAGCAACCAAGCTTGCTGTGAAGGGGTATTCAAGACCCAGTACTTGGAAAAGTTTGAAGCACATCTCAAAACTTTCTAAGAATGAAGAAAACTTTACTAATCCGAATCCTCCAAACCTTCCAGCAACTTCATTCCTGCGTTGTAGTATTTGTTTATCATCGTATTGATTTTAGTCTGGTAGTTGTTCAGATTGATCAATTTGAGGACCTTACTCTCCTGACAATCCGTAATGGTTGCCTTCCTGTTTTCTTCTCCATATGATCCGAGAAACGACACGTCGTTGGAAGGACAGCATTGAGAAAAATTGTGTAAAGATAATCCTTCGTATCCGAAAACGTGATTTACTTTCATATAAACATTTCAAAACCATTTCAAAAATACTTTACCAATCTGGGAAGTCTCGCCAATTTGAGTTAGCAGCTTCTTGCAGTACTCATTTGTTATGTTTTCCATATAATAACCGAAAATCTTTGATTTAAAGTTATCCCATTGAGAAAAAAGCAAGTTTTGCTTGTTTGAAATTTAAAAAAAATTTGTTAAGATATGTAAAATAATAATTTAATTTAAACGTACCAGATCGGTTACTTTAGCGTAGCTAAATTTAGTCCACTCCTGAAAGAATGTTACACTGTCCATTTCCTTAGACTCCCGCTGAAGAAGAGGAAATTATCCTTCCAGTTGGCACAGACTAAATCCCAATCTGAGCAGTCTCTTTTTAGCAATGCTTTCTTTGCTGCCGCCTCGAATTCGTCGATTTCAAAAACTTGTGAATTAGCTTGAATAGAAGAATTCTCATCCATCGTAGTTAACTTAACCTTTTATATTGCGAATGTAGTTTTCCGGACGCGTTGTTACGAGGTCCTCGTGCAATAAAGGAAAAGTCCTACACAAAATAATTAAGCAAATCTTTGTATTTTCCAGATTTGAATGTATGTCTTTTTTTCTTATTTTTATATCGTTTTCAAATGGGAATAAGGTACATATTTCCTCTACTAACAATGAAAAATCAGTAGTTTTGATGGCCATACCTCTGGCTTGAACATCGTCCACTATAATGCTTATTAAATTTTTCCGTTCATCGTTGGACAGTACTTTGTGCTCCACGAAATACCTTAGTATGTTTTTCCCCTTAGCGCTCTGCTCTGGTAACGAACAAAGAGGCTGAAATAGAAACAATCGTTGTTATCAATTCATTTCATAGTTATAAGCTCTTACCTGTTTTAGAACAAAGTTTACAGCTTTGGCTTTTTCAGCTACTGCAGCCAACGTTTTTTGACCTGACTTGCGCTAAAAGTTTTTAAAAATATTTGTTATAATACAAGGAGCTATTTTTATTTTTTGGCATGCCTCCATTTTAATTTCACTATAATGAAATAGATCGCTTTGCTAATCTTCCTCCATTAACTTCAACGAGGGGATTGTCACATTGGCTTCTGATATATAATATACATAAAAAAAATGTATAAGAAAACAAACATTCATACAAATAATAGTTAGTTTATAAGAATAATAGGGTGAACTTCCGTTTAGCTCCAACGCCCGATTTCGTTCAAACTTTCAGTATCCGCGTTATTTGGGGTCCTGATTACGGGAAAAATAGTCAAAGTTGGCGCAAATAACGTGATCATGGAAAATAACGGTAAATATCTTCGAATATATTAACCTAATCACTATACCAAGGAGAAGTGAAAGCTATTAAAGAAATAAGAAATTAATTTTTTACATTTTTTCTGTAAAACTAATAGTTTTCGTTAAAAACGCTAAATAAGATTACATTTTCACATGGTTTAAAAGAAAAAAACCGTTGTAGCACACTTGCGTCATTTTGACCGATATATCGCACGAAAGCTTGTTGTTATTAATGGAACGACCAAGACACGAGAACGGCATTAAAATTTTTAGGAAAACGAAATTAAAATAATAAAGTCTAAATGAAAAGAAAAAGCAAAATAGATGTGTTGGAAAGAGCATTTCGGTTGTCGTAGTTAAATATAAGATAAGAAAACAAAATCAAATTCAAATTATAAAACGGAAATAAATGTATTGACCAAAAAAATATAAAAAGCTTTTCTAATGTCGCAGGCAAACATTTTTTTGACAAAAATCGCAGCGTGTTTTGTTAAAAAAATGTTTGCCTGCGAAGTTTTACTTTCTCGGCTCCTTGCTATTCATTATGTTTGTGTGTACCTGAGTTTTTTTTTTGGCGTTTTTTCATTTTTAAATAGCAACACAATTAAATTAGTTTCCGGGATATACTTTGGAATGGTCCTGCTTTCCCCTTTTAACGCATCTAAATTCCCCGCATATTGATTTATGATCTAACAAAATAATGCTCTGCTTATGTTTATGGCAATAGCGGTCTTTGGGTAATAACCCGACATCCCGCAGCCATTGAAAAGTACTCTCCCGGGTGCTCAGAATGGAGACCAATTTGAACAATTAAGTTCTTCCATTTTCAGGTCTTCTCAGTTTAAGCTTTGAATGCATAGTGATTGTATATTTCGCTAAATGCATCACCTAAAATGCTGTTATCGATTAATCGAAACTATCTGACACCATTTTTATGGCGGGATAATGCAATATTTTTAAATGTTAACCTCCTATTTAAAATATTTCTTTTCCGTTTTTTCGAAAACTATTAAGTTTTCGGAAAATATGATTATAACAAAAAAAAATTCGTTTTATAAATATCTTTTTTTTTGTCTGAGACATTTTTTGATTTTCCTTATATTTTCGGAAAAACAGCAAAAAACAAAAATTGTTTCGGTTTTTACCGTTATTTTTCAAGATCCCTTTATTTCCGCCAGCTTTGACTATTTTTCCCGTAATCAGGACCCAAAAACACGTTGATATGGAAAGTTTGAAAAAAATCGGGCGTTGGAGCTAAACGGAAGTTTATCCGATGCACTTTACAAAAACTAATTAGATTAAAAAACGTACCCTCAGGGTACGGAAGGGGCGAATTAAAGTCCGCTCATCTCTCGTTTCGTTCGTAGAACGGAATTCTCTAGAATTCATTATGAGAATATTAATTCTCAAGTTGGAAATTGAAGAACACAACTCAAACTTAGAATTTTGTGATCAGTTCAAGTTCTTTTTCTTAAAATGAGTGCAACTTTTCTCAACCTGAGTTTTTTCGACAAATTTAGTACTTAAATTGAGTAAATCCTCAAAATGAGAATACAAATACTCAATTTGAGAACGGCATAATTTTCTCTGTATACACTCTCACTAGCTTTACGAAGAATTGTAATAGAGTTAAGAATTATTCAATAAAGAGAACTCAAACATATAGGTTGGCCTAAATGAATTATTTGGAGAAGATTTAAAATACAACTCAACTAATTTAAGTTTTTATAAAGAAATAATGAATATAGAATCAAGCAAGGAAGAACGCTATAGTCGAGTACCTCGACTATCAGATACCCGTTACTCAGCTAATGGGACCAAAGGGAAATGAAGATATGCAAGCAGCAAGGCGATATTGAAGTGCGCCACCTACCGGCGGTAGACAAATTTAAGCGTTATGGGAGTTAGAGTGGGCGTGGCAGTTAAAATTTTTTATCTAGCATTAAAATTGTGGGCGCCTCAGGTTTGGGCGGCTTGTGGGCGTTAGAGTGGCCGTGCCAAACTTTTTTTTCGTCAATCGATAGGTTTTGATGAGAAAAATACATGTCAGTTAAAATTTTTATTCTAGCATCAAAACTGTATGAGCCACAGTTTTGGGCGGTTTGTGCGCGTTAGAGTGTGCGTGGCACTCTGCTGAAACAAGGTTGCGCTGCGAAGGAATCTCAGGAATCTGCATGCCTAATCCCAGTATTGTAACTCTTATAGTTTCCGAGATCTCACCGTTCATACGGACAGACGGACAACCGGACAGACGGACATGGCTAGATCGACTCGCCTAGTGATCCTGATCAAGAAGATATATACTTTATGGTCGGAAACGCTTCCTTTTGCCTGTTACATACTTTCCGACCAATTTAGTATACCCTTTTACTCTACGATTAACGGGTATAATAATATAAAAAGGGAAATTCAATACGACATCGAAGTAAATGTATTTTTGTTTTTTCACCGTTAATATCATCTAGTTCAAAATGGGGAATAAATTAGTTAAGCACCGTGTGGGAATGATTAGCTGGAACTTCGGATCATGATGATTTCATAAAAGTACAAAATAAAATCAAGGACTTAATTTAAACAACAATAACGAACAATTTAATATCAATTCCAAAATGTTCAAAAAAATAGAATATCTTTCTGAAGATTTTAAAAAGCTTTTATTGATCATGATTTACCATTAAGAAACATCGCTTGCCATGCAAATATTCTAAACAATGAATATATCAAAGAAATATTAAAACACGAAGAAAAGCCAGTAACTATCGCTGACCTAATGGATATCTCTGTATTCAAATTCGCACTGCATAAAAAACTTTCAATAATTTATAAAAAATACCCATTAATAAAAAAAAAAATGCGAAACATATTTCGCTAGAGCCATTTCTCAAGCCGAAGGAAAATTATTATTAAGTAATGAAGTCGCAAAATGCGCAAATACATATTATGAAGTGTCTACATTTCAGAAAAAACTCTACTAATTATTGTATTTTAGGTATGGAAAAAACTTGATTTACCTGATAATTAAACGGTAGGAAGTCAATTTGAAAAAATATAAGAGAGAAACATAAAAGCATAGACATTATCCAAGATGGTGCCATTTTAATAAGTGGTAACAATTTTGTTGACAACTCCGATTTAAACGGGTCATTCCTAATTACATTTAATGGTACAATAACAATTAATAACGTTTCATATACCAATTTAGAGAACAAATTTCTCAACTATGTTACTACGAACCACTTCAAAAACTATGAAATATCCGATTATATTTTAAGAAATAACTCGGAACTATCTTTGGATAATTTAAGCATTTTAATTTCAGTCAATAAAATTAATATACAAAATATCTGTATCCCTTATTTTATTAATTTTGATTGATATATGTTTGAATTCTTTATCTATTTTTATACCCGTTACTCGTAGAGTAAAAGGGTATACTACTCGTAGATTCGTCGGAAGGTAACAGGCAGAAGGAAGCGTTTCCGACCCCATAAAGAATATATACTCTTGATCAGGATCACTAGCCGAGACGATCTAGCCATGTCCGTCTGTCCATATGAACGCAGAGATCTCGGAAACTATAAAAGTTACAATACTGGGATTAGGCATGCAGATTCCTGAGATTCCTGCGGAGCGCATGTTTGTTTCAGAAATGTGCCACGCCTACTCTAACGCCCACAAACCGCACAAAGCTAACCAGAACCTATTAAATCTATTAACGAAGAAGAATTTTTAACAGAATTAAGAGATCTTTTTCGAGGAGATGCTGTTTTGCATCCCACTTCGGCCATTGTTATCATGATAATTAAAAAAAGAAGGCCTAGCTTTGGTTTTTGTAGTTCGTGTAGTTTCTCGAAGTTTTGGTGTGTGTGAATGGCAAAAAGTGTAGTACAGTATTCATTTTTTGATTTAACATTTTTTGGCCATTCTTATTATAATTAAAAAAAAAGGCCTAGCTTTGGTTTTTGTAGTTCGCGTAGTTTCTCGAAGTTTTGGCGTGTGTAAATGTCAAAAAGTGTAGTACAGTATTCAATTTTTGATTTAACATTTTTTTGGCCATTCTTATTATAATTAAAAAAAGAAGGCCTAGCTTTGGTTTTTGTAGTTCGCGTAGTTTCTCGAAATTTTGCCGTGTGTAAATGTCAATGTTTTTAATGTTACGCCTAGCATGGTGCTGTTAGCGCGCCGCAGATGGCACACAGATTTCGTTTCAGATTTGTAATGATACTAAAACAATGAAGCTTGGGCGTTCTGCTGCAAGCATTCTCCCCCGTTGGAAGATTATGGCTTTCAACCTCCTATTGTTCCCGGATGAAGATTTTGTCTGGTCAAATGCCTCTTCCCACGCTCTTGAAGAAGGGAAAAGTAGGATGCACTCCGCTTCCTCCAGAGTGCTTGCTCATTTGGCCCAATTTTTGACAGCGATTGAGGTGACCTGCGTTTAGATGGGTTAAATCAGGTTTGTCGATTGTTGCATTTGCGTTGCCCCAGATAAAACGGCCAGGCATAAGATTTCGAAGTCTTTAGGATCCTCTGAAATAAAGTAAAGAATTGAGCATTGTTGAGATTTGACATATGAGGGTTCGAAGTATGTTAAGTGAGAGAGTGGGGAACTCTACTTGGTATTGACGCGATAGAACTGGTATTTTGCTGACTTCACAGCAGCCCATAATTCACCAAAGTCTCTCGAAAATAACTCGCGATGCTCCCTTAGCTCGTTCCGAGCACCCACGAAGTTAGTTGCGTTGTCAGTCCATATTGAATGTGGTCTCGCTCAAAGGCTT